CTGTAGTTATTCACAGATACATGAAGAAATGGACCTGAAGACACATACCTGTCATAGGTGAAAACGGTTAAGATGACAGCAAAATTTGAGCAGGAGACATTGAATTCTGAGAAGTGAGCAAATGAAGCTGAGCATACAGCTGTGCTAGAACTATGACCACAAGCAGGGTTTAGTCTCCAAAATGTAATTTTTTAAATTTATTTGATTTTGGAGACAGGATCTCGCTGTGTTGCACAGGCTGGAGTATAGCGGCATGATCATGGCTTGCTGTAGCCTCAAACTCTTAGGCTCAAGGGATCCTCCCACCTCAACCTCCCAAAAAGTTGGGATTACAGATGTGAGCCACTATGCCAGGCCTCTTTTCATTCTTGAAAACACTCAGTAATACCTGGAGGGAGAAGTAAAGAAAACATTTAGAAAGTGCTATCAGAATGTTAATGTGAACAGGGATGCTGTAGTATTATGCTCATTCATAGATCTAACAAATGTTCAAGGAACACCTACTGTAGTTCAGACACTATCTTAACTGCACGGGACATTTGCAAAACAAGAGACAGACCCCAGTAGCTTACGCTGTACTCAAGAAAGACAGAGGAGGAAATGTGAAAAAAATGCTGAATTATATGGAGTGTTACAATGTGGCAGGCACAATGGAGAAAAGAGGCGAAGGCACTGAGAAGTGCTGGAATGATATGTAAGATTACATAGCCGAGAGAGGCCAACTTGTGGATGGGTCTTTATTGGAAAAGGACATGGAGAGCTCAATGCCACTGAATTTCCCTAGAAATGAGAAGTACAGCATGTCGTGAAGGGCCACAGGAGGAACAGGTTTTAGTCTAAAGGAAGAAGCAAGAGCTAGGGGAGCACCCAGGCCAGATCCTTTATTGTGTTTTCCATGGGAAAGGGAAGGCAGATCAGAGCAAACAGGTGAGTACAGGCTAGTCTGAATAATTCTGGTTGGCTTTGATTTACAGGGGTGGTCTCTAGTGGCCTCATACCCTGACCCTGGTGTTAAGAGTACGTAGATGTGAGTAGGGCAGGAGAGAGGGACCCCAGGAATGTCAGGCAATTTTGGCATTAAGGATGGGCAATCCATAAATCCTTTCCTCTGAGATAATAAACAGAACAAGAGAGGGACCCCTGAGATGTCCAGCTCTCATTGGGTGAAGGACAGGAGAGCATAAAACTATTCCTCTGAGATGGTAAGCGGCCATGATTGGTACCAGGAGGGAAAAGAGTTTTCCAACAGATAGAAAACACCTGGAGCCAGTGACCCGCAATCCCTGACAAGGTTTCAAGCATGCACAAAATGGGGCAAGATGGCAAAATCTGACTGGTATTTGACCTTCCTCTGTGGGTGCTTGACTCGTAAGGGAAAATCACCCCAAATGAGTATATGTATGACTTCAGTAAACAGTCATGTTTACTGCATGCAGCCCCTCCCAAGTGCTGGCAGACCACTGTGCATGCAGTAGTCAAGCAACAGCCTACCCAAGGGAGGAGAACAGAGAGCCTGGGAAATGAGCAAATGTATAAAGTTCCAAGCTAAGGATCAAGTGGGGCCCTTGACCTCTCAAGTAATCCACTTGGCCCTCTTTCAACTGTACTTTGATTCCTTTCACTCCTACTCTAAAACATTTTAATAAATTCTCACTCCTGCTAAAAAAAACTTGCCTTGGTCTCTTCCTCTGCCTTAAACCAACCTCTGCCTCCTTGGTTGAATTTTCTTCTGAGGAAGTAAGGACCAAAATTGCTGCGGACTGCTGCAAACTCACTGGCAGTAATGCTGGGATGATTTAGTGCAGGGAAAGCATTGGTTTGGTGAGTAAGCGTTAGATAAAGAGGGTGGTTGGCTTGCCTTGCTCCCAAGATAGTTGTTTACTATTTTTAGAAATTAGCGGCCGGGCACGGTGGCTCAAGCCTATAATCCCAGCACTTTGGGAGGCCGAGACAGGCGGATCACGAGGTCAGGAGATCGAGACCATCCTGGCGAACACGGTGAAACCCTGTCTCTACTGAAAAATACAAAAAAAAAAAACTAGCCGGGCGAGGTGTCGGGCTCCTGTAGTCCCAGCTACTCGGGAGGCTGAGGCAGGAGAATGGCGTGAACCCGGGAGGCGGAGCTTGCAGTGAGCTGAGATCCTGCCACTGCACTCCAGCCTGGGTAACAGAGCAAGACTCTGTCTAAAAAAAAAAAAGGAAATTAGCTACCTCTGGTAGGGTAAGTCTCTGTAACCAGCAAGAATTTTAAGATGTCAAGACATATAATACAAAAAACAAAAACCATGATTAATACATATGCCTCCTTAATGAGAGGGTGGTTGAAAAAAAAGGTTGAGGAATGAGGGCCCTGAACAGACCACTTCACAATTATAAAAATATTCACTTAATATGTATGTTCTTGGAAATTATAAGATGTGCACAATGAATTTGGTGGCTACTGATTCAGGCAAGGTTTTAATCTCAGAATTTTGTCCAAAACAGTCACTTTGTTACTTTTCTGACATTCAGGGAATATGGCCACTCAGCAGGTGCTGAGGAACACCTTTTCCCTGAGGAATAGCTGTTCCTCCCTGTTTCCTGAGGAACAGTGTTGGGGAACATGGGACATATGCTGGAAACAAGACACTCAATCCACACTGTTTCAAAACACTGCAGGCTGTCAAGTTGTCCAGTTTCCAATAGAAGTGGGAGGCCCAGATTTTTAAATGGAATAACGTTTTATAGGTTCACTGAGGTGTAATCAACATGCAATATACTGCACATATTTAAAGTGCAACAGTAAGTCTTGAGATATATATATACACACATTCACACACACATACACATATATACCCTTTTGAAATCATCACCCTATCAATGGTGTTGGACATATCTGTCATCCCCAAAGTTAACCTCAGGCCCTTACCTAAGGAGAAGTTTTATAAATAAAACCACACACAAAAATACATGCTTTATGATGTCTAAAATAAAATTCCAGAAAATTCAAGTCAATCAATTGTAAAGGAATGTCAAAAGTTGCCTGCATATTCTGGAATGTATTATAAAAGAGCAAAAGTAAAATATGCAGATGAGATATGCTCATTCTTATGATTACAACAATGCTTCCATGAGTTTACACTTATGTCAGAACTTAAGTTGTACACTTTAAATATGTGCAATTTATTCCACATCAGTTATAACTTGATAATTTTTTTTAATGGATGCAATTAACAATCTCAGTCGTTGACACTTCAAAAAGTCTGGTTTACTAAGTCTCTATTGACTCTACCGTCTAGCTCCCAGGCCACGTAGAGGCAGTGGCGGGAAATACAGGTGAGCAATGAAGGCCATTTCCACCAGCATTAAGAGGATTGCTACTGGATGACAAAAGCCGGACCAAGGACAACTGAATCTCTCTTGACTTCATCTTTTTTTATTGTCTATGTAGCAATGGCCTTGAAGTAAACAGGTCAGAGAGGCTACAGGAATCCATAAAACCCGTGTTGTCTCTAATAATGACTTGAGCTACAAGACACACATTTCTAGAGATTTAGGCACACAGTGATCCTGCAGTCATAGTCACTGGAACATTTGTGGATAATTTTTTTTTTTTTCTTGAGACAGAGTTTCGCTATTGTTGCCCAGGCTGAAGTGCAATGGCGTGATCTTGGCTCATTGCAACCTCCACCTCCCAGGTTCAAGAGGTTCTCCTGCCTCAGTCTCCTGAGTAGCTAGGATTACTGGTGCCCACCACCACACCCAGCTACTTTTTACTTTTAGTAGAGACAGGGTTTCGCCATGTTGACCAGGCTGGTCTCAAACTCCTGACCTCAGGTGATCCATGGATTACAGGTGTGAGCCATTGCGCCCGGTCTTTTTTTTTTTTTTTGAAACAGTCTCTCTCCATCACCCAGGCTGGAGTGCAGTGGCATGGTCTCAGCTCACTGCAACCTCCACCTCTGGGTTCAAGCTATTCTCGGTGCATCAGCTTTCTGAGCAGCTGTGATTATACACATGCACAACTGCACCTGGCTAATTTTTGTATTTTTAGTAGAGATGGGGTTTCACCATGTTGGCCAGTCTGGTCTCTGACTCCTGACCTCAAGTGATCTGCACGCCATGGCTTCCCAAAGTGTGGGGATTACAGGTGTGAGCCACTGTGACTGGCCTGAATGGATCTTTTTTTTTTTTTTTTTTTTTTGAGACAGAGTCTTGCTCTGCTGCCTAGGCTGGAGTGCAGTGGTGCGATCTTGGCTTACTGCAACCTCTGCCTCCCAAGTTCAAGCAATTCTCTGCCTCAGCCTCCCGAGTAGCTGGGGTTACAGGCGCCCACCATCGTGCCCAGCTAATTTTTGTATTTTTAGCAGAGATGGGGTTTCACCATCTTGGCCAGGCTGGTCTTGAACTCCTGACCTCGTGATCCACCCACCTCGGCCTCCCAAAGTGCTAGGATTAAAGGTGTGAACCACTGCACCTGGCCGGATGAAGCTTTATTTGAGGAACAGTCCATGTAATTTGCTGCAGTCTCCTCCATTCCCTAGTATTCAACACAGCATTTCTTTACCAATTATGTTTCCTTCCAGCCCCATAGTTTTATACCTAGGGACACTAGCTCACTGAATTTTGTGTTTCAAGGGACACAGCTCCTTCACAGGACCTCATTAAGGGATTCTAAACATTGCAGGGCATTATGTGATATCCTCAATCAACAAGAAAAACTTTGTGTTGTCTCCAGAAACAATGGAAGTTGTCACAACTGCCCCCTCTGCGGAATGACCTCTGAGCCCACATGCAGGCAAAAATCAGAACCAGAAAGCCCTGCAGTGTCTCCTAGAAGGCCTCAGTAGCAATGCAAAATAGGCCAAAAATGGAGCAAAAGCTATATTCTGTCAGCATACTGTCCCATTTGAGGCAAACAGAATTTGAATCCCCACAAATGTTATATACCCTTTTAAGCTGACAGAGTCCTATTATGTCTCCAAACTACTCCACAGTTAATACAACTTACAAGATTAAAGGTACTTAAACAAAAGGCCTTTATCATTGCACAAGCCAGTTAACAGGCAGTTCCTGGTACGTGGTGGAAGCTAAAAAACGCTTCATCACAAGCATTGCCTGAGATCAACAATGCCCTCAAAAAAGGCAGTCCTCTGGAAGCTGCCAGCAGAATTCAGGGCAGGTCCTGGGGCCAACAATGGGGTAGTTACATGCACTATGTAGCCAGAGGAGGAAATGAGAAATCCCCCTAAGAGCTTAGACTACTCATACTTTCCTCCAACTAATGGAAGAAGGCTGCCTCCCTGAGCATGCTGGGGTGGTGACTGATGAACACTCTGTGGGTCTCCCAGGGGGTAGAGATGAAAAGGCTTCAGCCACAGAAACTGGCAGTGATATGAATCTGGTAAGGTCCCTGGGCAGGTTTAGAGAGTACAACATAGCTAGACATGCTTCCCACATACCTCAAATTTATGGGGAATCCATAGATGTTTGGCTACATGAGTCACATCAGGAGAAGGCTCTTCTCAAAGGCTAGCGCCATCATACCAAATTAAAACAAACAAACAAACAAACAAAAAACACACAAATTCACAGAATATATAAGGCCTTTCTTCTTTGGGAAATCTTGTGTTAAATGTGACAACACAAGCTGGGCATGGTGGCTTACGCCTGTAATCCCAGCACTTTGGGAGGCCGAAGCATGTGGATCACCTGAGGTCAGGAGTTCAAGACCAGCCCGACCAACATGGTGAAACCTTGTTTCTACTAAAAATACAAAAATTAGCTGGGCATGGTGGCAGGTGCCTGTAATCTCAGGTACTCAGGAGGCTGTGGCAGGAGAATCACCTGATCCCAGGAGGCGGGGGTTGCAGTGAGCCCAGATTGCACCATTGTACTCACAGCCAGGGTGACAAGAGCGAAATTCCATCTCAAAAAAAAAAAAAAAAAGAAAAGTGACAAAATAATTTCCCACATTCACTGCACATGAACTCTTCTGTGTCTTAAGAGGCCAGAGCTTTGGCTAAAGGATTTCCCACATTCACTGCATTCATAAGGCCTTTCTCCAGTGTGAATTCTCTTGTGTTGAATGAGGTGATTTTTGCGGGTAAAAGATTTCCCACATTCGCTGCACTCATAAGGCCTTTCTCCAGTGTGAACTCTCCTATGCTGAAGGAGGGCAGAGCTTTGGCTATAGGATTTCCCACATTCATTGCACTCATAAGGCCTTTCATTAGTGTGAACGGTCTGGTGTCGAATGAGGTGGGTTTTTCGGATAAAAAATTTCCCACATACACTGCACTCATAAGGCCTTTCTCCAGTGTGAACTGTCTGGTGCCGAATGAGGTCAGTTTTGCAACTAAATGATTTTTTACATTCACTGCACTCATAAGGCTTTGTTTTAGTGTGAGCTCTTCTGTGTCGAAAGAGGCCAGAACTTTGGCTAAAAACTTTCCCACATTCACTGCACTCATAAGGCCTTTCTCCAGTGTGAACTCTTTGGTGTTGAACGAGGACAGATTTCTGGCCAAATGATTTCCCACATTCACTGCACACATAAGGCCTTTCTCCAGTGTGAAATCTTTGGTGGTGAATGAGGTAGATATTGCAACTAAATGATTTCCCACATTCACTACACTCATAAGGCCTTGCTCCAGTGTGAACTCTCCAGTGTCGAAAGAGGTTAGTGCTATGGCTAAAGGATTTTCCACATTCACTGCACTCATAAGGCCTTGTGCTAGTGTGGGCACTCCTGTGACGATAGAGGTTAGTGCTGTGGCTAAAAGATTTCCCACACTCACTGCACTCATAAGGCCTTTCTCCAGTGTGAACTCGTTGATGTTGAATGAGGACAGATATCTGGCGAAAGGATTTGCCACATTCACTGCAGTCATAAGGCCTTTCTCCAGTGTGAACTCTTTGGTGTTGAGTTAGGTGACTTTTGCGACTAAATGACTTCCCACATTCACTACATTCATGAGTGCTTGTTCTGTTGTGTGCTTTCCTGTGTCGAAGAAAGCCAGAACTTTGACTAAAGGATTTCCCACATTCACTGCACTCGTAAGGCCTTTCTCCAGAGTCAGCTCTTTGGTGTTGAATGAATACAGAGTTTTCTCTAAAAGATTTCCTGGATTCAGTGTATTTGAGAGGGTTTTGTCCAGTGGGAACTCTGAAGTGTCGAATCCTGCTGTGTGGTCTCTCACTGCTGGGAGTCACCTGAAGCTGGAGAAGTCCTGAGGTGGCTGAAAAGTCCCTCCCAACTTCCCCAAACATGAAGGGTTTTCCTGACACATGGAACCTGTAGTTCATCATAAATGAGGCCTGGTCCCCACCCATTTCAAAGAGCTTCTCTCCATTGTCAAGCTTCTGGAGCTGCTGAAGGTTTGAATTCATCCAGAAATCTGATGCCCCACCCAAGTACAATTTCTGTCCACAGGGTGAGGCTTTGAGCTCAATCACTTGTAAAATGTCTCTCAGGACTGGGGTACAAATCTCACAGGGGTGACTCTTATCAGTGGATGTATCTGCCTTTGCAGTCCTGCCCTGTGACAGTTCTGCCAAAGAAATGCTCTCTGCAGAAGGTGCCCCCTCATGTTCTGCTCCACACCAACAACCTGAAAGAAGAGAAATGGTGAGAAAATGCAGGTTCACTATGGTGTGAGAAGTTACATCAAAAATGTGTGTCAGACAAAGAATGAGCCTAAGAAAATATGCTTAGGATGTGAGAGCTGGTGGCAATTTGGGGAAAAAAGGCTCTACAAGTCACAGAAAACAAGGGAGGCCTTATGAGATGAAAAACACAAAGTTGGGGCACAACTCAGAGAGAAGAGGTAGGGTCTCTGACTCACTATTCTTCCAAAAGCTTTTATCAGGACCTCCTCCTCTGATGAGAAGAGAGGACTTCGGTATACTGCACAGAAGATTATTGGTGCCCAGGCCCAGTAGAAACCCATGGGAACTGAATACTAGGTGTGGAAGGACTATTTAAAAACATGTGCACATCTGACAACATATTACATGTGGGTCAGTGTTAGAGAACACTCAGAAGTTGCACTGGAAAGGAACAGGTAACACATGGAGGCCAGAAATTGGGAGCAGCTAAGGGCTGGAAGTCATGGATGAAATAAAAATCAGAACACGTGTAGAAAAGAAAAAAAAAGGCCAGGCGCCGTGGCTCATGCCTGTAATCCCAGCACTTTGGGAGGCTGAGGTGGGCGGATCATGCAGTCAGGAGATCTACATCATCCTGGCTAACATGGTGAAACCCCAGCTAACACGGTGAAACCCTGTCTTTACTGAAAATACAAAAACATAGCCGGGCGTGGTGGTGGGCGCCTGTAGTCCCAGTTACTCGGGGGGGCTGAGGCAGGAGAATGGCATGAACCCGGGAGGCGGAGCTTGCAGTGAGCAGAGATAACACCACTGCACTCCAGTCTGGGCAACAGAGCGAGACTCTTTGGGAGGCCGAGACGGGCGGATCACGAGGTCAGGAGATCGAGACCATCCTGGCTAACACGGTGAAACCCCGTCTCCACTAAAAAATACAAAAAACTAGCCGGGCGTGGTGGCGGCGCCTGTAGTCCCAGCTACTCGGGAGGCTGAGGCAGGAGAATGGCGTAAACCCGGGAGGCGGAGCTTGCAGTGAGCTGAGATCCGGCCACTGCACTCCATCCTGGGCGACAGAGCCAGACTCCGTCTCAAAAAAATAAATAAATAAATAAATAAATAAATAAATAAATAAATAAATACAAGAAAAGGAAAAAAGATCGAAATGATGTATATCCTATGGAACTGGCACCAATCACTGAGAACTCAGGAGAGGTTTATGGCGTGATTAGAAACAGCCCTAGCGTCTTGCCCTCCCTTAGTTGTCACTCATCAGGGCCAGGACTCCTCTGAGAGTATCTTGCTATTTGCACCCTGTAAAGCAACCAGAGCCATCCCCCAATCCCAGTTGTGCAACTATACTGGGCCTGTAAGATGCAAGCCCTAAAGGGTAGACCAGAGAGGTTCACAGCCAGCACTGGCACAGAGCAACTCAGCACATGACAAACTACAGCAGTGAAAAATAATGTTACAAGAAAATCTTTTAGGTGGATCTTTATAAGAAGCCTATGGACCAATCAGTAGTTACCATCATGATGCCTGCAATTACTGAAACAGGCAGCTTGAGATTTTAGTTAGAAGCAAAAGGCAGAACACGGAACAAACAGCATCCTAGAAGTGGACAAAGCCATCCTGTCATGGAGAAGGCAAGGACAAATCCTTTAGGCTGAAAGAAAGATCCTGTCTCCCAGACCCTTCACTGCATGCCTAGAGGCAATAGGTGTTAGGATAGTCTTGAGAGTGCCTTGCTTGGCGATGTCCCCCAGAATACATACGCCAAGAAAGTGGGAAGGTCTGTAGAGCGAGGGTCTAACTGAAGAAAGGACAGAGCTGCCTCAGGGACAGGGGAAAAGGAGAGACCCACAAAGGACACTGGGAGGAATAGGAGGGCCTTACCTAGGGATGCCATAACTGCAAAGTTCTCCAGCATCACATCGTGGTACAGGAGCCTCTGCGTCTCATCAAGGAGCTCCCACTCCTCCTGGGAGAAGTAAATGGCCACATCCTCAAAGGCTACAAAACCCTGCTATGATGGGGACAGTTCATTCCATGATCAGCATCTTTCCTAGGACCCCAAGTTGATTCCCCCACACGTCCATCCCTGGCTCACCCTCCTCCCCATCTCCCCACCTCAGGGAATATGTCCATCCCCCACACATCCACCCCTGGCTCACCCTCCTCCCCATCTCCCCATCTCAGGAAATACAACAGGCCCTGATGCCACTGATGCCCACTCTCTCCTCATGGTCCCATTGGTCACTGTGTTCTCCCACAGCAACAACAGGCAGGTGGACAGATAGAAACCACGTTCTCGTGTCTATAAATTCTCCTGGAATCCCTCAGACCATGGCTCCCAAACACAACTGAAGGTCTGGGTTCACATTTCGCTCTCATGTCCTCAATGTCCAGACTCATGAAACAAAAGCTCACACTCCTTCTTCATATGTGCATCACTCTTTCCACCACACCTCTCTCACCCAACTCACTCCCTCAGCCACCTCCACCCCGATCCCACAACACAGGCATCTCTCCTGCCTTCCTATATGTTACTCAGCACAAGACATCTAGAAACCGCTTGCAAATTCAAACGAGTTCCAGGACTACCCAGACCTCTGATGGTCCCTACTGCCACAGGTAGCCCCATATCCTGCTCTGAAGCCCTCCCTACCTGAGTATATGCCTTTCATCAACCTCAGCTACCCAGAACCACATACATACGTCAGATACACATGGCCCTTTCCAACTTGTATTGCACTAAACAGTAACTGCCTTCCTCTCTTGCTACCCTTCATTCCAGTGGCCCTCCACCCAAGGTTAAGTGATGCTCCCAGATGACTACTTCTGCCCCTAAACTTATCCACCGCCTGCATGAAACTCCGTAGGCAGAGAAGCAGTCATAAGATCCTGGTGGGGCCATAGAGCAGTAAAGCATGAGGTCTTGCTTCAGCCTCATCTTGTCTGAAATCCCACTAGGTCTCTAATATGGTTTGGCTGTGTCTCCACCCAAATCTCATCTTGAATTGTAACTCCCACAATTCCTATGTGTCATCGGAGGGATCCAGTAGGAGGTAACCGAATCATGGGGGTGGGTCTTTCTTGCGCTGTTCTCGCAATAGTGAATAAGTCTCACGAGAACTGATGGTTTTAAGGCTGGTCGCAGTGGCTCAGGCCTCTAATCCCAGAACTTTGGGAGGCCAAGGCAAGCGGATCACTTGAGGTCAGGAGTTTGAGACCAGCCTGGACAATGTGGCGAAACCCCATCTCTACTAAAAATACGAAAATTAGCTGGGTGTGGTGGCGCACACCTGTAATCTCAGCTACTTGGGAGGCTGAGACAGGAGAATCCCTTGAGTCCAGGAGGTGGAGGCTGTAGGGAGCTGAGATCTCACCACTGCCCTCCAGCCTGGGAACAGAGCAAGACTCCATCTCAAAAAAAAAAAAAAAAAAAAAAAAACCAAAAAAAAAAAACAACTGATGGTTTTAAAAAGAGGAGTTCCCCTGCACAAACTCTCTTTTTGCCTGCTGCCATCCATGTAAGATGTGACTTGCTCCTCCTTGCTTTCCACCATGATTGTGAGGCCTCCCCAGCCATGTGGAACTGTAAATCCATTAAACCTCTTTTTCTTCCCAGTATCAGGTATGTCTTTATCAGTAGCATGAAAATGGACTAATGCAGCCTCCACATTCATCTTATGTTCATTCATCCTTCATAAACCTGGCCACCTGCCTGGTATCCTCTCTCTATATTATTCCTAGCCCCACTTCCCTCTATAACCTGTGTTTGTGATTTCCACAACATCCATCCAGATACCCAAGTATGGTACCCTCTTGTGGCTCCCACGCCTCCCTCTCCTGGGCCTGCTATTAATATTATCATCGTGACCAGGAATCCCACTACTAAATGGGATCTATGATGTTATGGGCTCAATGTTTCTGCCCCATGCCCACCCACAAAATGCTTATGTTGAAGCACTAACACAATGAAGCGTAATATAGTGTGATAGTATTTGGAGATGGAATCTTTGGGTGGTAATTAGATTTCGATCAGGTCAAAAGAGCCCTCATGATGGAATTGATGCTTTTGTAAGAATAGAAAGAGATTCCTTGCTTTCTTCACATACTCCCTCTCAGGAAAGGCCATGCGAGGACAAAGCAAGAAGGCAGCCACTGCAAGCCAAGAAGCAGCCCATCACAAATAAGTGAATCTATAGGCACCCTGATGTAGAATTTCCTAGCCTGAAGAACTGTGAGAAACACATTTTTGCTGTTTAAGCCACCAATATAGGCTATTTCATTATCAACCTAAGGTAAGACACTGATATAGCCTGGATATTTGTCCCCTTCAAATCTCACCTGGAAATGTGATCCACAATGTTGGAAGTGGGGCCTAGTGGGAGGTTATCTGGGTCATGGAGGTGGATCCCTCATGAATGGCATAGTATCCTCCCCACAGTAATAAGTTCACATGAGACCTGGTCGCTAAAAAGAGACTGGTGCCTCCCTTCTGTCTTGCTGGCTCCCTTTTTGCCTTCTGCAATGAATGGAAGCTTCCTGAGGCTCTCACCAGAAGAGGACACTAGCACTAAGCTTCCTGTACAGCCTGCAGAACTATAAGCTGTAATAAACCTTGTTTCTTTATAAACTACCCAGCCTTAGGTATTTCTTTATAGTAATGCAAATGGCCTAACAGACACAGGGCTCCATCCTAGTTCAATACTATCCTCCACTCTTTGTAGAAGTTTTTATCCTGCACCCCTCCTCAGAGTCCAAGACCTGTGTGTCCACCTAGCCACTTGATACAGCTACTTACTTATTCTCTAAAACATTTCATATTTATAACATGGACAAAACACAATCCTGATATCCTGAGTGAAAAATAATCCTACTATCTACTTGGCTCTCCCAGTAGATGGAGCTTCTATGCTTCCAGCTGCTAAACCCAAAAAGCCTTGAATCATCCCTTCTTCTCTCTCAGTCCCAATACCAGAAAATCAGAACCGACTTACAATCCAAAATTCAACCATTTCTACCACACTGTGGCCACTACTCTGGCCCACATCATCTACACTCGCCTGGACTATTGCATTAGTCTCCTCTTTCCTCTTTGGTATTGCTACCAACTCCCTTAAACCCACAGTCTGTTGTCTGTGCTCAGCCACAGGAGCCTCAGGAGGCCTGGGGAAGATCACTTCCCTCTTCTGCTCCAAATCTTCATTGCTGCCATCATCTCCAGAACAAAGACATCCGAGACAGTCATTTAATTTCTAGCTCCTGTACCTCTGCTCTCTGTTCCCATGAGAAGGAAATGAGACTTGAGGTTCTCTTAACCAGCTCAGCCTCACTCCAAGCAGCTCCAAACACCTGTACTTATCTCTGGGACAAACTTCCACATTCATTCTATTATTTGCCAGCAACAGGTACCACCTCATAGAATACCCACCCTGGGCATATTTTGTTCAGAGTCCCTACGCTCAAAGCCTGGAAAAGCGGTAAGTAAAGAATACCAGGTCACCACAGTCCCAGTCCCAGAGATCCCATTGCTGCAATCAGTGAGGTTCTGGATTTCCTCCACTCACCCTTGTAGTGTCTGTAAGTTCTTCTTACAGACCTATAAGTATTAGTGGCAATCTGTGGGAAGAGACATGTTCTGAGAGGCAGGTGACCACACTGCGGCTCCATGGGCTTCTGGCTCCAATGTGTAACACCAGAGCCAGGTGTCCTGGGATGACAGCTTTATATCTGGGCATCAGTCCTTGATGCTGACTTTTATCAGCTTTGTGACCTCGTAAAGAGACTAGGTCCCTCCATGCCTGCTATCATCACTGCCCTTCCAGTGAGTTCCTCTGAACAGCTTTTGTGAAACTTTTAGAAGCGTGACTGGGGCCGTGCCCCTCTTCTGTCCTACGTGCTGTGGCCCTCAGTGTACTGGCGAAACTCAGTGGGGCCAATGCAGCGTGGCGCTGCCCCACCCTCTGCTCCCTGCACGCGTGAGGCCGGCCTGGGTCTCCCCAGCCTCCTGGCTCAGGAGCAGCTCCAAGCCGTCGCTCTCCCGCTCCCTGCTACACTACCAGAAACGAGACCCAGCACCAGAGCCTCACGGTGCTGGACAATGCGGTCCGGCTGCAGAAAACCCTTCACGCGCCCCTCAGTTTCGGGTGGGGAGGGCGGAGGAGGCCAGGAGGACGCAGCGCTCACCGAGGTCGCGGCCCTCATTGCCGCCGCCATCGGACTCCGGGCACAGCGGGCCGGGAGCGGTGGACGATCCGGGCGGGGACGCTAGCAAAGCAATCACCACCGCCGGCGACCGTCAGGCCCCGGCTGTGCAGCTGGGAAAACCACTCTCCTCGCGCCTTCTCGCTGTCAGCACCTGGGTCCAGATCCGGCACCCGCGGATGGAACTGACACAAGCCAAAGTGCCCGCCACTGGGAGGACGCCGGAAGTCCCGCCCAGACAAGTTGGGCAGAGCGGAAAAGTCCCTCACCTGGACCTCATTGGCTTCACGCCAAGTGCCTGGCGCACGGGCCTCTGGGTAATGTAGTTCTCACCGCTTCCTGGGCTGGCAGAGCTTGCTCTTCTCCTGGACCTCAGGGAGGAATGGCCCCGTGCTATGGAGAAAAGTGGAGGGGAAGCCTGAGAGGTGGTGTCTTCAGCCTCCTTGGACCAGGGAGGAGCTTCGCTGCTTTTTTAAGGTACCATACAGAGATTTTTGGAGAGTATTGTGTACAACTAGTCACCTAGGTAGTCAGAGTCATTCAGATACAAAATGCCTCTATCCATGGTGAGAACCTAGTAAACATTACCTTCTTTCTCCACACATTTATGTAGAGTAGAATGTTAGAGTCAGCTTTGTGAATTTCATTATGCTCAGTAAGGAATGAGGGAAATAGAGTTTACATAGAGCCACGACAGGAATGATAAAACATCCGTTAGATCGCACCGAAGCAGGTGGACGAAAGTGGAATTCTGTCTCTGGTTCTCACAGAAAATGCCTCTCCTGCCTGTGTAATCAGTAAGTGTGTCTAACCCTGTAAGGAACGGTGTTTTATTCATATAATATTTCTTCCTCCATATTCTTAGATATGCCTCTTTTAGGATTGTAGCAACTTTCTAAACAGAAGAGCCACTTAGCATATGTCATTTTAAAGTAGAACAGTGTCTGTAGTGTTCACAGTCAGAGCACTTGTGCAAAGGGGACACCAGAATGCCAAAATAAAGGTTAGGGACACCTAGCTTTCATCTCTTTGATGGGAAATTTTGATCATTGATACTGTTACTGCAGGGACAGTGCCTGCAAGGGGAGTTGAGATTATCTCAGAAAAACAGTTGTGAAATGAAAATTGCTGAAAGCCATTGTGTTAGTCAGGATTCTCCAGAGAAACACAGAACCAAATAGGGTACATAGATGTACAAGAGGAGATTTATTATGGGAATTGGCTCATCCAGTTATGGAGACTAAGAAGTCCCAGGATATGCCTTTTGCAACCTGGTAAATCATGAAGTTGGGTGGTAGTCAGTCTGCATCTGAAGGCCTGAAAACCAAGGGAGCCTATGGTGAAATTCCCGGTTGGAAGCTGAAGGCCTGAGAACTGGGTGAGGGTCATTCTTGTATATTCCAGAGTCCAAAGGCCCAAGATCCAAGAACTTCAATGTTGGAAAGCAGAAGGTGGATGACCCAGGACAAGGAGAGAGTAACTTGCTCTTTCTCTGCCTTTTTGTTCTATTTTGGCTCTCAAAGCATTGGATGTTGCCCCCTAACACTGATGAGGCCAGACCTCCTTTACGTTGTCTACAGACTCAAATGCTAATATCTTCCATAAACATTCTCACAGACACATCCTATACTAAGGTTTTCCCAACTATTTCGGTAGCCCTTAATGCAGGCAAGTTGGCACAAAACATTAAACATCACAACTATTAATAATCTTGTGGCTAGGCCGGGTGTGGTGGCTCATGCCTGTAATCCCAGCACTTTAGGAGGCCAAGGCAGGCTGATCATGAGGTCAAGAGATCAAGACCAGCCTGGCCAACATGGTGAAGCCCCATCTCTACTAAAAATACAAAAATTAGCTGGGTGTGGTGGCACATACCTGTAGTCCCAGCTACTTGGGAGACTGAGGCAGGAGAATCGCTTGAACCCAGGAGGTGGAGGTTGCAGTGAGCCAAGATCACGCCACTGCACTCCAGCCTGGTGACAGAGCGAGTCTCCATCTCAGGAAAAAAAAAAAAAAAAGAATATTGAACATAATTAATTGAACTGAACATAGACTTACTTTGCTTTTTTTAGTACACTCATATATAAGTGTATGAGTACATTTGGCTTGACTCTGGAAAAGTTTACCCTGAAGACATGTAGAGCAGATAGCTTTTCAGTTGCTGAATTGAAGTCCTGTCTAAAAAGAAAGGGAGGTCTGGCTCCAGCATGATTTTATATAGAAAGGTAAGTGGGGAGCTCTTCTGAGTGACTCCACAAAGGACTCAGTTTGTGTGCATATTTGAGTGTCTAATGGTAATTTTTTTTTTTTTTTTTTTTGAGGAAGAGTCTTGCTCTGTTGCCCAGGCTGGAGTGCAGTGGCAGGATCATAGATTACTGCGGCCTCAAACTCTGGGGCTCCAGCGACATTTCTGTATCAGCCTCCTGAGTGTATGGGATTGCAGGCACTCACTACCGTGCCCAGCTAATTTTTAAAAGATTTTTTTTTTTTTTTACAGACAGGGTTCTTGATATGGTTTAAAACTCCTGGTCTCAAGTGATCCTCCCGCCTCAGCCTCCCAAGTAGCTGGGGCTACAGGTACACACAACTCTTATGGCAATTTCTTAGGCTAATAGTCAAAATAGGGAAATATTAAGCTTGAAAAGTGCCAGAAAATCTGTATATCTACTTGTTTTTGCTGTTTAGGTAGATAAATTAACTAGGCTGCTCATGGAAATAACTGGCTTACCAAATTCAATTTGTTAAAATGAATCTCCCTTGAGTTATACAAATACATACACAGCACAAACATTGCTAAATATTTTTAACTGATTTACAAATTAGTTAATTTTAATTTTTTTTTTAGACAGAGTCTCACTCTGTCATCCAGGCTGGAGTGCAGTGGCACAATCTGAGCTCACTGTAGCTTTGAATTCCTGGGCTCAAGCAATCCTCCCCCGTCAGCCTCCAGAGTAGCTGGAAACACAGGTGTGCACCTGTACCACTATGCCCGAAAATTTTTTGATTTTTTGTAGGGACGGGGTCTCACCATGTTGCTCAGACTTGTAAAGTTTTAATAGATTATTTTTTAGAGCAGTTTTGGTTCATAGGAAAATTGAGCAAAAAATTACAGAGCTTCCACATATCCCTTGCCCCTACGCATGTACAGCCTCTCCACTATAAACATTCCCCACTAGAATAGTATATTTGTTACAATTTATGGTACATTGGCATATCGTTATCATCCCAAATCTATAGTTTACATTAGGATTTACTCTAGCTGGACGTTATATGGCTTTTAACAAGTGTATAGTGACTTGTACACACCATGGTAGTATCACAGAGTAGTTTCACTGCCCTAAGTCTTCCATACTCCACCTGTTCATCCCTTCCTCCCTTAGCCCAAGCCCCTGGCAACCACTCACTTTTTACTGTCTCCATAGTTTTGCTTTTTCTGGAATGTCATATAGTTCAAATCACAGTATGTAGTCCTTTTAGTTTGGATCCTTTAATAGTCCATTTTTGTGCTGCTGAAAAAGACATACCCAAGACTGGGCAATTTACAAAGGAAAGAGGTTTAATGGAGAACTCACAGTTCCACATGGCTGGGGAAGCCTCACAATTAATGAAGAAGGCAAGGAGGAGCAAGTCATATGCTAGGTGGATGGCAGCAGGCAAAGAGAATAAGCTTGTGCAGGTAAACTCCTGTTTTTAAAGACATTAGATCTCGTGAGACTAATTTACTGTCATGAGAACAGCGGGGGAAAAACCCACCCCTATAATTCAATCACCTCCCACTGGGTTCCTCCCATGACATGTGGGAGTTACAATTCAAGATGAGATTTGAGTAGGGACACAGCCAAACCATATCAGATCCCTTCACTTAGAAATATGTATTTAAGATTATTCCACATCTTTTATTATTTATTTTAATGTGGATAAATATACCATTTTCTAGATGTACCACACTTATCTATTCACTTACTGAAGGATATTTTGGTTGCTACCAAATTTTGCAAATTATGAACAAAGGTGCTATAAATATTCATGTACAAGATTTTGTGTGGACATAAATGTTTAACTCATTTGAGTAAAACCAAGAAGCACTATTACTGGATCTATGGTAATTGTTTTGGCATTGTTTCACATTTCAAATCAGTTGAGAAACTTTCTCAGATGTCTTAGAGGAAGCAAAAACAAAGTGCTTCTTCCTTTTTTCTTTTTTCAATAATCCCTAAGCCTCCAGATGTCTGTGAATGTCACCCTGTGAATAGACACACATATACATACAACACAGTCACACACTGCATAAGTGTGTTACTATTGCACACCTATCTGCAGGACCAGAGTTCAATTACCCATTTCCTTAATATCTAGTGCACAGGAATATGGAGAAAGGGTCAGCATATTAAATGACATCAGAGAGACACAAAACAAAACAAAAACACACACCATTCCAGAATGTGGCAAATTCTGGACAAATGTCTCATCAAGAATAATAATAAAAAGTGGTAGCTATATATTATTACAGACTCACCAGATGAAACAATTAATAGCCATATAGATTCGTTTTGGATCTGATTGCAATGAATTTGTCTTTTTTTTTTTTTTTTTTTTTTTTTTTTTTGTGCCCCCAGAGCGAGTCTGCTCTGTGCCAGGCTGGGTGCGGTGGCCGGATCTCGGCTCACTTTGCAAACTCCGTCTCCGGAGTTCGCCATTCTCCTGCCTCAGCCTCCGGGTAGCTGCAGGACTGCAGGCACCCGCCACCTCGCCAGCCTGAATTTTTGTATTTTTAGTAAAGACAGGATTTCACCATGTTAGCCAGGATGGTCTCGATCTCCCTGACCTCGTGATCAAGCGTCTGCGGCCTCCTAAAGTGCTGGAAATTACAGGAAGCGGGCCAGCCCGGCCGGGTGTCTTAAATCAATTTTGGAGACAATTGAGCAACTGAAGCACTGATGATATTTATGATGCTGATGGTTGGTAGAGTTGCGGAGGTATAGAAAAACTCTTATGTAAATACATTCTGAAGGATTGCAGCATTGAATGACAAGATGGCAGGAGTTGTAAGTAGAATAAGTATGTGTGAAAAGAGGTTGGAAACAAAACAGCTACTGCAAGTGATAGAAGTAATGTGGACAGTTTTGGAGAGGATTTCAATAGAGTGCTTCTGAATAGTCTTTTAGGTGTATTATGCTTGAAGGCTATCCATTTAGAGAGAAAAATATGTTTTATACCCATTACTTGTTAAAGAGGATGGACTAAAGGTGAGTGGGAAACTTATAGTTTCAGGGTTTAAGCTATGTATTAACATAGAATTTGTGTACTTTAAATATGCAGAATTTAGAACCTTCTGCAAGTTCCACTTAAGCCACTTTTAAAAGTACAAGTAATAAATATTAAAAAAGTATCACTTCTAATCATTTGTTTTTTAGAATGGGGAAGTACTTGCTCTGTCGCCGGGCTGAGTGCAATGGCCGGATCTCAGCTCTGCAAGCTCCGCCTCCCGAGTTCGCCATTCTCCTGCCTCAGCCTCCTGAAAGTGACTGGGACTAGCGCCCTTACGCCCGGCTAATTTTTTTGTATTTTTCAGTAGGGAACAGGGTTTCCGTGTTAGCCAAGTTGATCTCGATCTCACTGACCTCGTGATCCGCAAATCTCAGCCTCCCAAAGTGCTGGGATTACGAGCTTGAGCCACGGCCTTGACCTTTACTGTTGTACTCTTATATATACATTTATTCTGTAGTGAGCAGGCCTGTCAGGAGCCAGTAAGAAGAGTGAAGCCAAAAGAAGGAGAAAGGGGTGAAATTGTTTTCAGAAAATATTTCATAGGGAATCATGAACAAGTGATGTCTTGTGCAGCTGTGGGAACAATGGATCCTGTATCTGCCCTCAGAAAGCAGTATCCTTTACATCCTTTTAGAGACTCTTTTTATAGTAGTCAACAAGGCTGGGAGGTTTTTGTTTTTGTTTATTTTGTTTTGAGATAGATCTCACTTCTGTTGTCTGTTGCCAGGCTGGAGTGCAATATTATACGATCTTGGCTCACGACAGCCTCCACCTCCTGGGTTGGTGATTCTCCCGGCTCCAGCTTCCCGAGTAGCTGGGATCACAGGCACCATGAGCCTACAACTAGCTAATTTTGTACTTTTAAATAGAGATGGGTTTCACATTTGGTAGAGATGGAGCCAGGATGGTCTCAAAATCTCCTGATCTTGTGATCCGCCCACCTTGGCCTCCCAAAGTGTTGGGATTACAGGCGTGGTGTGCACGCCGACCTGGAGTTTTGGAGGTAGAAGCGTGGAGGCTGCTGACATGTTTGGACTTTCTTGCCAAGACTCATGACCACTGGGGAAAGCATTTTGATGATACCTATGCTACTGCTTCAGAACATAGTGACCATGACATCTTCACTTCAAGATAGCATCAGTCTTGCTTTTTCCACAAGGCTGTATGTTCCTACATGCATGTTCTTGAGTTATCTGCATTTACTGTATACGGCCTTGGGTGAAATGGGAATTACAGTAGTGTGACACTGCCCCCTTCTTCTCAATTCATTCAATGACATTATTTTGCAAACAACTTGTAATTGGCCATAGTGGAAGAAATTTTACCCAGGGAAATTTAGCAAATATTAAAGCCAGGGCTTGTTTGTTTGGTGGAATGGTTAGACCTGAAAGTGAAGAGGAAATTTTATAAAAATAGAAAGGCTGATATTTCAGGTATGTAGTGTCTGAGGTTTGTTTTTTGAGGTGGAGTCGCTCTGTCACCGGGCTGGAAGTCTGATAGCATAATCTCGGCTCACTGCGGCCTCC